ATAAATGATGATTTTGGCTGAAAAACTTACCTGAAATTCGGCAGAAGAGCATGAATCCATTTTATGTGTCAGCCGCATGATGAGAGTTTTAACAAGCGTCAGATTTAAAAGATCGTAACTTTGCGACAGTTTGTGCCATCAGAAAAATTTTGCCTGTGTCTGCAAGCTACAACACTGCTCTTTACAGTAGCATAGAGTTATTACGGTGAATTCGCTCCCGCTGCTGTGAGATGTCGGTGAAAAAAGGTCTGTCTCCCTCCTCCCAGAGCCCTCAGCCTCTTCCCACACACACAGCTTGGAAGCACAAACAGCTGATGGTGACGCAATCGTGCCGTCCCGCTCCTGGAGGAGAGGCGGTCAGCGAGAGCGCAGGTGTCATTTTTATCCGGGGCTACTGACAAAACATCCGGGGCTAAAGCCCCGGAAGCCCAGGTCTAACGACGCGCCTGGTCTGATCCCTCACCTAGGACCTGTTTACCCTGGGTGACCCTACCGTGGGTATTAATCCTCTGACAACATAGCTCCTAGGATCATTTCGACACTCAAACCTCTCCACCATGATAAGGTGGCAGAGAGAGCCTATATATAAACTTTAGTTTTTCCACTCTGTCCATTTTCAAACATTATTAAACACTTTCATCCTACCTTGGCTCTCTCTGCTGGCCTCAGCTCCATTGGTGTTTTGAGCATTGTTGAGGTACTTTAAAGCAGCAGGAGGAATCCTCCAGTCCAAAGCCTGGAGACGTTCCTGGACAGCAGCGTCCTGCAGGATCTCCATCTGCCTTGCAAGCAGACGCTCCAGTTGTATCTGAATAACACACAAAACTGAGGATTTTAATTCAACACCAATATTTTCTGTTTAAACTGATCTGAATAGTCTGATTAAATGAATAAATAAAAAAATGGTCTGTAGGGATAACTTTAAATGGAAAAAATATTTGCCAAAAACTTACCTCTGATTCTGTTCAGAAAGTCATTTGTTTTTTCTCTTGGCAATGTGAATAAATGTAGCTGTAACCTGCTTGAATTTTTTATCCACCCAGATGAGTAAAACTGACTCCAGAATTCCCAGATAACATAACAAAACAAAACAAAACAAAAACACAACAAACACCATGCAGCTAATAGAGTCAAGAATGAGCTGAACTGATGAATATTTGTGTTTTCTCCAAACTGCAGCTAAAACATGTAAGGAGTAAATATGAACAAAACATGGATAGTGAATTGTCCATCACTGTCACTTTAAATCACTGCAGGACATGTTTTACATCCTCACACAGTGATCAAATGGCCTGCAGCATGATAGCAGCCATGAAATCTCTTCTTCTCCTCAATGTGATTTACAAAAAAAAATCACATCAGTATGACAAATGGAACTGCAGCCACACAAACAGTGATGGAGCTGAACAATCACACACACACACACACACACACACACACACACACACACACACACACACACACACACACNCACACACACACACACACACACACACACACACACACACACACACACACACACACACACAAAATAAGTAAAAGAATACATGTTCTGCTCGTCACAAAGCTCTCCTCCTACACCCCAGTTCTAAGTAAGAACTAACATCAGGAGCAAGAGGGAGAGACAGGATCTGTAGCCAAGGGGTTTTCAAACTGTGGGGTGCGCCTCCCTTTAGGGTCACCAGTGGTCTTGAGGTGGGGGGGGGGGGGGCATTATGTAAATCAGGAAGTGGGGAAGTAATGTAAGGCTTATGTTTTCATTGCAGGTCTTAGATTACATTTTTTTGCTCAGATATTTTTTTCAATGGTGTATCACATTATCAATAAAATTTGACCTCTTTCAGACTTCAGTATGAACCATAGCAGAGGCGAAAAATAAAAAAGTTCAGACGCAACCCATTGTGCCCAAAGGAAGTGACTTTTAGCAGGCTTTGTTTGAGGAAGTTGTCACATATGCTACATTTGTTAGCTTGTGTGACTCTGAAATTTAGAGTTTAGATTAAATTATTTGACCTGCTTGTTAGGTCCAGTGTTCACATTTAATCTTGCCTCTTAAAGAATTCTCTGGCGCAGCTTTGAGCAGAAGTTAAAATAAACTAAGAGTAGGGATGGGTACCATTGACATTTGAATTGATTCAGTACCAATATACCTGGGTATCGGTACCAGTACTCAACAGTACCAATTTTTGGTACTTTCTCTGTGTTGTTTATTTTAACAATAAACTTATTTTTTTTATTTAACATATTTATTTCTCAATATATACAATTTAACAAATATCAAGACAACATCCAATTCTTTGTATTGTAACAGTTGTTTAACAAATTTCTTTAAAGTGAAAACTCTTGAAAACAACTAACGCAGTGTTGCTTCTTATTGCACAAATTAAAATCCAGCTCCACGTATTTCTATTGATGTCATTTCCTCACCTGAAAAACTGTGTGATGGGGGTCCATGGAAGGCAAATAAGTTTAAATCAAATAAGCAAAATGATAATGCGTTCAAATTGGACAGACAGATAAACTCAGTGGTGAAATCGAGATTTTTTCCAACTAAGACATTGCTAAGGTGAAGCCATAACTCCCAATCAAAGATCCCAAAAAAGAGATTCATGCTCTCATTACATCTCGTTTGGATTATTGTTGGTTTGGATAAATCTTCTCTGCGTCGATTACAAGTTGTCCAGAACGCAGCAGCTCGTCTCTTAACAGGAACTAAAAAATACAAACACATTTCCCCGGTTTTGGCTTCTCTCCATTGGCTTCCTGTTCAGTTTAGGATCAATTATAAGATGTTATTCCTTATTTTTAAAGCTTTAAAAGGTCTAGCCCCATCTTACCTGTGTGATCTCATTAACATCCACACTTCAGTTAGAGCACTTCGGTCATCCAACCAGTTTCAGGGGTGTCAAACTCCAGTCCTCGAGAGCCGCTATCCTGCTTCTTTTAGAGGTTTTCCTGCTCCAACACACCTGATTTTGATTGCTGGGTGATTAACAGGGTTATGCCCAATTTGAAGAGTTAATTCAGTCACTGAATCAGGTGTGTTGGAGCTGGAAAACCTCTAAAACATGCAGGATAGTGGCCCTCGTGGACTGGAGTTTGACACCCGTCTTAGACGTTCCTAGATCTAGACTAAAATTTAAAGGTGATCGGGCCTTTGCATTTTCTGCCCCAAACCTTTGGAATGGCTTACCTCTTAGCATTCGGTGTGCAGAGATTGTTGAGACTTTTAAATCTCTGCTTAAAACTAATTTTTCTCCCTGGCCTTTCATTCTGGTAGAGTTTGAGTTCTTTTAAAGATAATGTTTTTAATGTTTTTTCCCTCTATTTTAAATTGATCTTATTGTTTACATTTCTGTGTTGCTTTGTTGTTTTTATTCATTTGGCTGAATTGTGAAGCACTTTGGTCAGCTTTTGTTGTTTTTATGTGCTATATGAATAAATTGACATTGGCAAAAGAGGATGGGGTTAAAATACATATCTGGTATTCAAGCTACGCATTATTGAGCATTGAAAACGCGCCCAAAGCTTCAAGTTGGCTGCTTGTGCTCTTTCAGGTCAAGCACGTTAAGTATGTCTGGAAGCGCTTCTGTTGTTTTCCTCTGCCAGTCTCTGTTTATTGGTGGATGAAATAAAGGAAGTGGCTTTGCTTTATTTACTTTAGTTTGAGCAAGCCAATGTCGTGCTCACCAGATAATTAATTCACCAGATAGTTCAGAGGCAGTCTGTTCGGTGAGTTTCACTTCAGGAGTTGCAAGCAGCGAGGCTTGTTTTCAAGCTACGTTCAGACCGAACTCTGTTTACTGAAGCAGTGGCTGCTGACGTCATTACACTCTTGCGCGATGCTGCATTCAGGAAAAGCATGGAAAACCCCCCACTCTTATGCCAATACAGTCACAATGATGCGCTTAGGTAACGAAACATGGTACCGTCTGATGTTACATGAATAGGTAATCTGTAGTACCGGTACTTATAAAAGTATCAAATTCAGTACCCATCCCTAACTAAGAGTATCCATTCCAATACGTTAGTATCAACACGGTCCAATGCTAATTTAGCATCATCTGTTGCTGTCAATTTTCATTTATCCAGGCCATGTGAAATAAAAAGACCTCCCATGACCCGTTCTCTATCTCCTGCTTCTGAGGAGCCGGTCCCGTCCTTGCCGTAGGGGGAAGACCATGTGACTAGCCCTCTGATCGGGGGATCTTTGATGATCCTCCATTGGTCCTCCACCCTCACTGCCAAGCAAATACTGTCGGCAGATCGTGGACATTTTTGCAATATGTCCCAATCTGCTGCTCCTTCCCGGCCACTGGAGGTTCAGTGAATACACTTGTCGGATCCTGGCTGAGTGTCTAGACACCCACCCTTCCACCCGTTTTTTTCTGGGGAGTCTTTGATGCCCAATCAGCCTGTTCCTGCTAGTGTCTTCTGAGTCATCTGAATCACCTGAGTCTGTTACAGAGTATTCTGAGTCTTCTGAGTATCCTGAGTCTTCTGAGTATCCTGAGTTGGCGGTTCCAGTTCCTGAGTTGGCAATCCCAGTCCCACAGTCTCTTGTGTTGGCAGCTCTGAAGGATCTTGGGTTTCAGCCATTGCCTCCCTGTTGCCTGGGTCGTCGGCCATTGCCTCCCTGTCGCCTGGGTTGTCGGCCATCACCTCCATCACCTGGTTCATCAGCCATCGCCTCTTCATCCCCTGTCGCCTATGTTTTCCATCGTCACGACATTGGCTCCATCAACCTCCGCTGGCTCCTCATCGCCTCCTGCTTCTTCTCTTGGCTCCACATCTGCTACTGCCTCTTCCAATAGCTTCACATCTGCTTCCACCTCCTTCTATGGCTCCACATCTGTTCCTGCTGGGCCCCCAGTTCCTGTTTCTGCTGGGCCTCATGTTGGATGGTCTCCGTGCCACCCTCTAGATCCTCTGCCTGGTGTTGAATGGTCTCCTGGATGTCCTCCAGAACTCTTGTGTTTTGTCTTTGAGTCTGTCCTGTCATGTTCCCTGAGTCTCGTGCCTCTCCTTTTTCGACAATGGGAGTCATTGTTAAGGGGGAGGTCTGTGTCTATCTTTCTTTGGCTTTTCTAGTGTTACAGTGTTTCCCTGTGTATCTCTACCCTGCTGTCTGTCATTCCTCCAGCCCTGCCCAAGCTCACCTGTTTCCTCTTGTGTCTCCTCTAGGTGTTTCTTGTTGTCTCATTAAGTTCTGCCTTTATGTTCTCTGTCTTGTCGGATCATTGTACTGTTTTACCAGTCTGTGTGGTGTCCTCCTCCCGTGTTTCACGTTTGTTTTCTCCTGAGAGATTCTCTTTTTTGTAAGTACATTTTGAGCTGCCTCACCAGCCTTTTCCTTTAATAAATACTTTGTTTTTGAGCTTTATCTGCGTCCTAGGTTTTTCCTTTCTGCATTCTCACAAGAACAAAGAAAAAGCAGTTGGAGTTAGTGGCGGCTGGTCACTAGAGGGCGCTAGGGCGTCACCTCACCACTATTTTTTGGGACACAAAAAACATTACAATAAAATAAAAAAGGGTTTAGTAATATTTATACATATTTTAGATGCGTAAGATACATTTTTTTAGTTATTAATGGATAAACTTTCATTTTACTCATGAACAATGTTGTGTTGAGTCACTTTCGCTTCATGCCAGGGTGCAGAAATCTTTACCATGAAAGCCTAACGTTAACTCCTGGGCATATGTAGTAGGTCCTCAATGCAAAAGAATAGGGAGTCTCTGGGCGCAGCTGACCTATGCCCAGAACATGATTTTCATACCAGAAGTAGGTCGACGCCATGTTCAATATTG